TTAATATACGTTGGGTAAGGGCAAAACCTGTTATATAAAATTTCAAAATTCTTCAAAAATTCATGTGTTCATTTAATGGACATTTACACTCACACAAACGACTTGCTGGTGGCTAATCTAATCTGTCAGGCAACCTTCATTGACGCCCAAGTATTCAGCCCAGGCCTGCAGCCCTGTAACAGAGAGCCCAGAATTGTGAGGTGTTGCATAATTTCCTTTGTTCTGGTGAATACCGGTAGTGTGTTTTCATACGCAGCTGGATTAGCGAGCAGCGGCACTGTGTCGCTCATCAATGGGGCCCTAGAGCACTCTTGTCCGCAGTGCTAATCTGTGGGCGCACTATGTCCAAAACAGTGGTATACTCTTTCAAACAGTGCCGGATTACCTTTGAAAAATGGAAGTCGAAAAATGATGGCAATTCCCAGCAGCAGGTCCTTTGTTCCGAGTACAGTCTTTTGTTACACAGACCAGCTCTTTTGTCTGAAACTGGGCACCCTGGCTCTGCGTATAAACACACGGTGCCCGAAACCGGGCATCCCGGTGGGAAGTGGTTAATAAATCAGCTTGACACCTTGAGAAATGTAGTTTTATGTTTAATTTTGTAACTCATCACGCAGAAGCTTCATGTCCTCATCACCTATAAGCTTACTATTATTAAGTTACCATTGGTAAGTTACGGTACCATTGGTAAGTTACCCAGTGAATTGTTTTAAATTGGCTTTCCTTTTATTGGTTTCTGTGTTTTTACAATACGTATCTTGATATGTATCGTGACCCAAGTATCGCAATACGTATCATATCGTGGCAAAGTGGTATCGTTACACCCCTATGTGTGACAATGCTTCCTGTGGTCCCCCCCCCCAAAAAAATTGAAACTAAAAGAATAATTGTTTCCTGTGGTAAAAAAAATTGAAAATAAAAGATTAATAATGTTTACTTTATTTGGTGAACCTCTTCAAATATATAAGCAAAACATTCTGTAGTAAAATTACAATGTAGTTACAGTATGTAGTTATCAGTACTTAAATAATGATTTTGTGAAGTGATGACAAGAGCCTTCAATGTAATATCTTTAAAATGTTCCTTACTGATTTTCAGTTGAATTTTGTCTTGGGTTTCATTTTCAGTACTGTTGGCGGTATTGAAAGTATGCAGTCTCTAAACCCATTTCTCCAGGCAAAGAGTAGGAAAGCCTGGCAAGGGCTGTTTCACGCGCACTGGTTGTGTGCATATAAAGTTTTGAGCGCTTTCTGCTTTGCCCTCGAGTGTTCTTACGAGTCCATTGAAACATGGCACCGATAAATTAATTATCAAATTTCCAAATCTAGACTTTGAAATGCAGTTATACATGTAGTATTACCGGTACAAATTTGAGGTACACATAGATTTTCAAGAAAAATTGAATTTTTTCTCCTACAAAGACTTGGAGATGTATTTTATTATACAAATGTTGTCACGGTCACGGTGACCCCTGATATTCATCGGAACTTTTCGATAACTGTTAAAAATAGAAAAGGGCTAAATGTTCAGTTTTAAATTTACTCCATTGAAGATCATAATATTTTCAATTAGTTCCTGCTGAATAAAAGTGTAGGACATTTTGTTTGCCTTTGTTTTCAGCCTCATAAAATACACCCTCAAACTATGGGCAAACAGCGGCACAGATGGTTTGATCGTTGCATACATGTACATTGTTAAAACACAACACAAGGATTCTTTAGCTCGAACCTGTTTTATTGGAGTTATCCTTCAATGTTTTTCAAGAGTTACGCGTTTCAAATTTCATCAGGACCCACTTGGTAAAATCTGCAGAGTTTGTGCAAACAGAAATACAGTCACTCTACGTGGATCAAGAAGCAAAATTCCAGAAGTTCGTGAGTACAGAAAAGAGTTGTTTAACACGTTTGAAATGAGTACTTTGGAGGACAGTGCAGACCAGCATCCTTCAAACTTGTGTGACAGGTGCTGCAGAAAACTAAGGCACAGTAAATCTGGAACAAGGTGTTACAATCTACAGGTATGTACCGGTACTCTGAGTAAAACACAGCACACGGTCACTCACAGGCCGGAGGGAGCTTGGGTGTGCACTAATGACCAAATTTGGCCAGTCCATATGTGTTTTATAACACACCTTGAACTAGAAAAATATTCTTTCAGGGTTTTAAATGTTTAAATTGAACTTTCAATAGCACTTCGAAAATTACCCCAAAAGTTGAAGATTTATTTTAGTTTTTATAGATGCAGTCTAATTTTGAGTCACTATATACAACTTGGAAAAGAGATCTTCCAGGATTTGAACAGTTTCAATTCAGGACAACCTCAAGAGGGTGCAATAACCAGTCAAGAATTGTCAAGACTAGATAAGTACATGTACCTGACTGGGCACTAGTCTCTAGATTGATGCCCACCCTCAAGGTCTAGGTGCATGGTGAATCACGCTGATGCCAAATTCATGTAATCACCTTTTGTTTTTATCGGTCGCGAACCACACATGACTATATTTCAGCCAACCAGGATAAAGAACTAGGAAGAGGTGTGTTACATGTATAAGTAGCTGTAATGCAGTCTGTGCAAAGAGCCAAAACATGCCTATGCTGTGTTTGTCAACAGACAGCAGTGTGCATGTGCATTTGTCCGCTTGACAAGGCTTCTAGGTTACATAACAAAACAGAAAAAAACAAAAGAACAAGTAATGTGTTCATGAATGTGTTGTCAAGGCCTAACCTCATATTGAATATATAAAACATCAAGTCATGCATGTCTTGTGCAGTGTTGCAGTCGAAACCATCACAAGACCAAGTGCAAGTAATGGGGCAAGTTTTTGCTGGTTCATTTTAATAGCTTGTAACGTGAATTCAGACTGGATGTCTTGTGTTGGTCTTGTAGCTGGTATTGTGTGGTCTTGTGAAAATCTTAAGTCATGGAAGTGGTCTTGTACTTCTATACCTCAGTGAAGAGAAGAAGGCAAGAGCATCGGGAGGGGGGGTGGTGTGCATACTAAACATGTACACACACAGAGTTGTACTATTGACACGACATACATGTACAATGTATAGGGGTCTAACGATACCACTTTCCTCCTTAGCTTCCCCTCAGGTTTCTGTGGCTTTTGGCTGCTTATTAAAACTTAGACTCTCCTGTTTGGCATCGTTGCAATTCTGAAAACAATTTTCTTCTCGAACCGCTGCTGTGCCGGCACTGTGACAACTGGTCTCCTGGGCTGACCTGAGGGGCCCACCACACATCTGCACCGTGGGTCCGTGCTAGCGCCCCCACTGTCGTCCGCCGCCGATGCTATAATACATGTATATATGTATATATGTACCTACATGTACATTTATGGTACTCATTACATGATATAAATGCAGCCAACTTGTGGCATTTCTTGAAACTCACTGGATATGTTCATGTCAATACATATTAAACATGTAAAGGATTTTAAGCATGTTGGTTGAGTTGAAACCTTCATTAAAGAGAATATTATCCAACCTCCTCCGTTGATTTTCCCTTTGTTCTCAAACTGCAGGTATTACTAGTTTTTTCCAAAGAAGATGCACTGAGTGATAGCTTCTGGTGGGCAGCAGATAAGGGTGGTTATAAATGCAATATTGTACGCAATCCCACTGATGCATTGGAGTGCTTTGTAGAGAAACAACATGATGTCATCATCATTGATCACAGAAATTCCAAAAATTTTGATGCAGTAGCATTGTGCAGGTAAGAGAAAAGTGAGCCATATGCTATGCATGTTTCCTTGATTTGCCACGTATTGCTATGGAAAACAGTCTGCACAGACAGCCTGTCATGACAGAATATGCAAAGCTAAATTCATAGATGGGGATGGGTAGTTCAGTGAATGATCAGTTACAGGTACATGTTGCAGCTTGTACGTTTAAGTTGGGGCCAGGTTTGTGTCTCCATCATGCATGTTTTGCTCATGTACAGTAGTATAATGTGGTGAGGCATTTGATACTGTATTAATGTTCAAGGCACTCGCTGTGTTTTCACTGCATTCATTTTTCAATTTCCCACTCAGTACAAGAACTCAATGCTGAAAAATACTCAACTACATGTAGTCCCTTTCACTTGGCACCATTTATAACATGTACTTTTTGAGAATTCCTTTAGAGTTCACAAGTGACACAACACATATAAAACCTTGATGGAAGAGTTATTTAACATCAAATAAGTCTCTTCATTTTCTCTGTAGGTCAAACGTAGTTACATGTACTTCTATGGTTTTCATTTGTGACTTACCCTTATTTTTGGCTCTTAAGAAAAATTTCAACAACCCACTACATATTCTGGCATTTTCAACCAAGAAAAATCTGTTATTTTTGTGCCACCAACCCTGTCTAGAACATAAAGAAAAAATCATCATCTTAATCCGATCAACCCGGCCTCCCCAAATATAAAAAATACAAGAACCATAGAAGGAACCATGCTCGTCACATCGGGGAAGGGAAGGGCACCACTTACCCCGTCCCTTACTTACAAAAATCAAATGTAAAGAAGGCAATGAAAATGAAAGGGAATGAAATGCATTAATTTGCTGAGAAAACCCACCCCAGCTGTAAACTGTTCTCTTTTCTTTATTCTATATTCAACTTTACCATCTGACTATAACCTTGTGTACAATCTGGGCTGTTGTCGTTTCAGCATATTAAAAACAAAATAACATGTGTTTCATGTTTACTTTGCAACTTTTTCTCCCATTTAGTGGTATGTACAGGAAATGAGGGAAATTTCATTCTGTTTTTCGTTACAATTTACTTTTTGCCCTCAAAATAAACTCCCTCTACTTATTCTATTTATTTCAAATCCACGAAAAAAAAGGCTGCCAGAGAGAGATGTGTGGATTGAAATGTTCGGTAAAAGAAACATTCTCTGAACCAGCAAAAGTTTCTAGTGTTATCCTTAGTCTCAGGGAAAATTTCAAGCACAAATGTGAAGGTAATGCTCGTGTTTTATAGAGCCTAGTAGCTTAAAATGTTTGTAAAAAAAATTAACACCAAATTCAATATCACTGGAAACAGAAACACAACAGGCCATCTATGAGGATGAAAAATTTTAAGATTTAAGATTTAAGATCAGTAAATATGTTTCCCGAATTTCCTAAAGCAGTAAAAAAAATTATCACTTGAATTGCTGTTCAATAAAGAATCATTTTATTTTTGATCAGTTATATCTGTTATCAATCATTACACTTTCAACAGAAATTAAGAAAGAAAAATGACATTTTGGCGCAAACGGACATAAATGTCACTAGCTATCAGATTGCCAGTCGCTGTGGTTTTTCTGGCCACATCTGTATTGCGGACGTCTCAGAAATCACAAAGAAATTTCATCCAATTGGAAAATTTCTTACGTGGCTTATGGAGACAGACGACCAATAAAAATGGCGTTATGTCAATGTAGACACTGCCAAGCATGCCGTTCAAGACTTGTTTCCAGGAGCAAATTCATTGATATGACATGTTAATTTTCGATTGAAAATGCATCCAAATTTTGTGCGAAAGCTTAAAATATCTTAGCGAAGAGGTTGAAAAATCTGTCACACCAGTTTTATTGGAGGGACGGGAAGGCGGACAGGGTTTTTTCATTATGCAAGTGGTTTTAATAGTCCCATGAGAGTCTTTAAAACATGGGTTTTGTGAGCAAAAGGTTTGCCGATTACTGAAGAACAGCGTGTCATTTTTTACATTTTGTTTAACGGCAAGTCTACTCTTTTAATGCATGTATATCGGCAATACTTGTTATACCAAATCTTCCGATTATGGGCAAATCTTCCAGTTCTGGGCATTATCATGTTCGTGACTTGTGAAGGTGTTTCCGTTGGTGAATTCTTTCAAGGTCTGAAGGTCTAGGCATAATGTGTATTTGAACATTAGTTATCCTTTGCAAATTTCAGCTTATGTTTGTGCATCATTCACAAAGAGGGGCCTGGAGTTTCACAAACAGTACTTTGCCTTTCTCCCTTACGACTGAGTCTTCGTGAATCGGCCTGTACCTTTGCAAAAGAAAGGACTCCCCTGACAACTGTTATTTTTGAAATTGCACCCAATTCGTGAAGAGTTCTTGCAGCAAATCGATGGAAAAAAGGTCCTATATTTCTGAGCGGTAGTGTATTAATGGATGAATTTGAATACTAGTTTCCTTTAGTTTACATGTATGTGTACGTACATTTCTGGTTTTAATTTAATGTTCTGGTACATTACATTTGCATATGTTTCTGGTTTCAGTAGAGCTGTACTACACTTTAATATATGTCTGATTTCCAAGGCTATGCTGATTTTTATTTTTATTGATCTTTATTCAGGTCAGTCAGAGCAACAAAATTTAGTGACCACATTGTCCTTGTAGCTGTAACAAGAAAAAGGTTTGTATTGATAGTTGGCATTGTTTTAGTGTATTATTTTGCTGACTTCTTCAACTGCGTACAAAAATATATAACACACTGATTAAGAATATAAAGATAGCCATCAGGTCTTTAAAAATTGCACGATTAGCTGAAAAGGAATGCCACAGATAAAGTCAACATGCCAAAAGTAAACATCCCATTATGCATCCTTTATTTGGATGAAATTTTTGATGTGATATGACAAATGCAATATTTGCTGAATGAAGTTTTGGATATTGCATGAGGTACGGGTACAGTCCAGAATTGCATTTCGTTAAGACAACTGTAAATGTCAGTAAAGATGCTTGCAAAAGCATCATTTGTTTTTCTTTGTCATTAAACTTTTAACTTAGAAAAGCCTAAATTGCTGTTTGTGTCCCGAAATTTCAATGTGTGACTTGAGAAATTTAAAGCTTACATGTACATGTACATATATAGGTCTATGGTAGGCAAGAGTTTTATTTCAAAGCTTTTTAAAAGTCTTGATACTCTGAGTTTTGAAAGGGCACATACATGTACATGTGCCCCCTAAATGAGCTTGCAAAGTACATTTATTGCATGTTTGTAGCTTACAAATTTTAAGAGCCAATATTTATTAAATGGAGATTTTGCAGCCGTTTAATTGTTTTTGCAGTGCTACATTAATTACAATTTTGTTCTTGCCAGTTGCTCACTGTTGTAGGTGAAGTTTGTAAGTATTCACCACTTGATGACAGTAGTAACTGGAACTCTATCAGTATTGGCAAAACTAGCAATAAAAGATAGAGGAGGGAGATACTGTATGTGATCCTACTAAATATTTGGAATTAATTAGCAGATGGGTTACTCTTTCCATATACTACAAAACCCCAAATTTGACCTCCACTTCAACATGGTGTTGAACCATCAAAATTGGAAAGAGGGGGCTGCGACTTTACTCTCATTTTGTTGTGATGAGTCACATATAGCCATTGTAAAAGCTGTTGTGGTAATTGTCCAGGAAATTTAATGGTACATGTATTATAGTTGTGAAATCGAATGTAAATATATTGCACAGATCTGTGGCACAGTTACGCATGGATCAAGGTTATGCCACATTTCATGAAATCAGCTGCTTCAATACTAATTGTTTAGTCAATAGCTAGCGAAGGACTTTCACACTCTAAATGAGACTGTGAGATCTGTAACACTCTTAATATGGCCGTGAGATGTGGGAGATCAAAATTGATTATTGTAGAGCAAAAGTGATCACAATAATCAGTTAAGTGTACATGTAGTTTAACCAAATACATGTATCCCAAAACTTGATTGGCTGCTTTCTAGTGTACTGCTTGTGAATTATTACTAACAGAGGAGTCATACATGTAGATCTGAATTTGCTTTTCCAATTAAAGGAGTGGTTTAGGAAACAGGACTGGACTGGTTCGCAGAAATTTGATGTATTTAAAAAGATTGTATCATTTTATGGGGGGATTACAGATTCAGAGTAGTTTTACTGGTGTGCAATCTTATTTATATATTTAGTTCTGCAGATAGAGATGAGTCATCTGTCATACCTCTTCTTAATGCTGGGTTTAATCGTCGCATTATTGAAAACTCCAATGCTGCAGCCTGCCTGAATGAGCTTGTACAACTGGAGTGTGTAGATGTACGGTCACAACTTAAACTCAGGTAATGTTCACTTCCATGTAAATACAATATTGGATTTGTGTCTTGTCTGTTTTCCAAATGAAACTATATACATTGTTCATTATTATTGTATCTGTTAGATTTCGGACTTGATGTAGTCATTAATCCAGAATTGGTTTCCCCTGACGCCTTCCTGAATGTAACCCAATCCAACTAGCAAAGTATGTACATGTAGCCGGCTCAATCCATTGGATTAAAAAACAGCTAAAACAAAAATTTTCAATTCACTTTTCAGATTATTCAAAGCCAATAAAACTGTCTCATCCAAAATATTGGTTGCATTTGTATTTTTAAGCTAAATAATTTAATATGGGAATAAATGTGTGTTTGGCCAGTATCAAATGTGTGTTTAAAACCGGCTCAGGAGAATAGACGTGACTAAC